AGTCATGTTACATAGAAACCCAGAGAGGTGTGGGATCTTGGCAACTCAGAGAAGAAAGGAAAGAGTAGTCGACTAAGGAGACCAGAAAGAAATAATCATCAACCAAGATTTTTTTTTAAAAAAAAAAAAAGAAAGAAAAGAAAACTCTGCAGAGTTTGAGCAAGCTGAACACATTGGCTTTGGCAAGTGCCCTTGATGACACTGATAGTAGCTACTGTGGTGAAATGGTAATGATAAAAGTCAAAAATCTGGTTGAAATAAGTGGAGAAAAATAGCAAATACACTCTTCAAAGGAGTTTTCAGTGAAGGAAGCAGAGAAATAAGGTGATAGCTAATAGAGATTTTCTTCAAAATCAGTAATATTCAATGAGCTCGAATACACTTCAGAAACAAAAAGACTCCTAGAAATGTCCTAGTGATCTCACTCTAACTCTGTATCAGCTATCCAATGCTGCATAACAAATTACTCTAAAACTAACTTGTATAAAACAAGCATTTATTATGCTATTAGATTTTCAGAAATTTAGATGGGCACAGTGAGGAAAATGTGTCTACACTCTACAACAGGTATTGACAAACTCGTACAGGCCCAGATAGCAAGTATTCTTAGGCTTTGCAGGGCCAATGGTCACTGTCAAATTACTCAAATAGTCGATTACAGCCCACTGCCATAGACCATGCATACAAGAAAAGAGCATGGCTGTGTTCCAATAAAACTTTATTTAGGCAGTGAACTGGATTTGGCCTGCAGGCTGCAGTTTGCAAACTCCAGTTGGAGTTGCTAGAATGTCTGAGGCATCATCTGGAAGACTTGAACACTGGGGAGACATGACAGCCAGAGGCTGGAATTCTGCAGCTCCTCAGGCATCTCTTTCTACTTCAATGGGATCTCTCCACATGATCACTCATGCGTAGCAGCTTCAACTTAGTCACACTTTCAAAATGGCAGCTGAGGTCATGAAAGTGAATTACCCAAGAGGAAATGACAAAATCTTCATGGCCTTTTGTAACCTACGTTTTGAAATCATTTGGCGTCACATGTACCATATTCTATTTGCTGAAATCATCACAAATGTCCACCCAGGTGCAGGGGGAGGGTCAGGAAGAAAAGTTTGCCTCTTTCTTGGGTGGAATGTTAAACAATTTATGGACATGTTCTAAAGCCACCATACTCTCTAAGAAATGAGAAAAAGTTAGGAGACGATTTGTTGCACTAAGGGATTTTTAAGTTTTATAAGAATTTGAGTGATTCCAAAAGTTTGGTTGAAAAAAGAAAATAGTAGTCACACTATAATTTTTAAAAGTGTTTTGGGATGGAGCTGAAGAGAGAAAATGACTCCTTGTACAACTCAATTATGACTGTGCTTAATTGCATTCAGACTGCCTTACTAAAAAGAGGAAACATATTTGATATTTTGTGTTTTTGGTTTGTCTGATGAACATAAAAATGATTATCTGATTCTTAGAATACTATATAAATAAATGTCTTTCAGCCTCTAGCTATGCTGAAGAATGGCCCCCAAAAATGTTCATATCCTGGAACCCATGGATATGTGTTATATTAGTCTGGGTTCTCCAGAAAACAAGAACCAAGAGGAGATACAATCCCCGCCTCACATACACCACATGTAGAAAGAGATTTTTTAGAAGGAATTGGTTTATATGGTTATGGAGCCATGAAGCCCTGTAATCTATATTTGGCAAGCTAGAAAGCTAGGAATGCTGATGGTATTGTTCCAGTCCAAATGCAAAGGCCTGAGAGAGGACAGTCAGTGGTGTAAGTTCTAATCTGAGTCTGAAGGTAGGAGAAGACCAATGTCCCAGCTTGAAGACAGTCAGGCAAAGAGAGTGAATTCTCCCTTACTGCACCTTTTATTCTATTTAGACTCTCAAGGGATTGGTTGAGACCCACTCACGCTGGAGAGGGCAATCTGCTTTACTTGGTCTACCGATTCATATGTTATTCTCATCTTGAAAAACCCTCACAGACATACCCAGAGTAATGTTTAACCAGAGATCTTGGCAATCCATGGCCCAGTCAAGTTGACACAAAAACTAACCATTACAATTGCCTTATATGGCAAAAGAGACTTTGAAGTTGTGCTTAAGTTAAGGATCTTGAGATTGGGGTGTTAGCCTGAATTAGCCAGGTGGGCCCTACATGTAATCACAAGTGTCCTTAAAAGAGGGAGACAGAAGAAGATTTCACTGCAGAAGACAAAGGAGGGGATGTGACTATGAAAACAAGAGGTTGGAGTAATGTAAGAATAGGGTCATAAGCCAAGGATTGTGGGTAGCCCCAGAAGCTGGAGAAGCCAAGGAAAGGATTCACCCATCAGAGTCTCCAGACCTGCCTATACCTTAATTTTAGCCTAGTGTAACTGATTTCAGACTTCTGGCCTCTGGAAATGTAAGAAAATAATTCTGGGTTTGTTATGCCAAGTTGGATGTAATTTGCTACAGCAGCCACAGGAAACTGATGCAGCCGCCTACTGGGAGGTTCATGGAACACATGAAGGTCATGCAGTTGTTTGCACATGACAGAAGTTGCATTGACTTAAGAGTTTGCCACAATTTTATGATGGTTAAAATGAAACCATCAACAGAAAGCTTGCATGTAATAATTGCTCAATAAATATTAGTTAACTAAGGTATATGTTAAACAATAAAAGAGTGGTGAAAACAGAAGATTAAACAAGAAGGAAAAGGCATAAAGAAGTAGGGCTGAAATAGAAAAGTCCCAAGGGAACAAAGGAATCTCTTCAGGGAGACTAAGGAATGTATCTCAAGGTCCACTGAAGGCAAGAAGGAGAAAATGTCTTCTCTCAACACTTGAGTCAAGCCCCCATCACCAGAAGGCAGGATAAGGTTTGGCATTCATTCATTCAACCTTGAAGGCCCACCATAGCCCAAGCATGTGCTACTCCTGGATACACTTGAGCGAGCAATGGGCTCCTCCAGCCTCCAGTGCACAGTGAAGTAGAGTTGGCCCCAGCAAGTACACATGGAGGACCGAGTCCTCTAAACCACCCTCACTAATCGAAAATTATTTCAATTTCTTTTTAAATAAGCATACGTTAGATGTCAAACTCCTAACTTTAATGCTTTAAAGATATTTTTACTTGGGAAGCTAATGAAAACCTAAAAACCAAAGGAGAAAATATTCAGCTTCATACTACTCAGTATTCACTTCACTGAATTTTTGTTTACATCACATCTACACCAACTGTCTTCTGGAAGCAGTATAGCAGAATGCTCAAGAGCATGGTGTTTAGAGCAGAAATACCTGGATTTGAATCCTAGATTTGCCATAAATCGTATTTGTGACTTTGGGCAAAAATTACTAAAGCTCTGTATGCCTCAACTCTCTCATCTGCAAAACAGAGATGATAATAGTATTTGCCCCATCAAGTTTTCATGACAATTGGATGAGTTAATAATTGTTAAGCACTAACACTGTCAGCCCATAGTAAGGGCTATATAAGTGTTGAGTAAAAGTATTAAAAACTTCTTTAAGACCCAGGAGTTCTTAAGAAAGCACATTCATACTCTGTAAATTGTGTAACTTTTTCAGGTGACAACATTTTCCTGCATGATATTTTCCTTGCTCACTTTCCAAGGGTCCCCATGACGAATTTCCACTTACCAGTCAACAAAGGCAGCCAGAGCTCCATCTGTGAAAGCCCAGTGAACCCATATGTTGCAAATGAGTGTCAGTAATGACAACAGCAGTAAGGGTTTCACAATCTGTGAGACGAAAGTTCACGAATGCAATCGGAAATGAGGTACTCCTTCCACTTCTAAATCACTTCAAACCCTTTCAGACTAAAATAAGTGCTAGGGATGTGATTCACAACTATCACCTCAGGGTGGAGAAGTCAAAAACTTACTGGCTTTGCCAGTATGAGTGTCAGAGAGATCTGCATTCAAATTCTGACCCCAATCCTTGCTATCTACATAACAGACAAGTTAATTAAACTTTCTTAATCTGACAGGGAAAACCTTGCCACTTTGGCTGGGTTTAAGTATATAATTTAGCAAATCATACTTATCTTTGACTAAGCAGCAGACTGTAGGTTGGGTATTCAGAAATTAGAGCACCTACGGATCAGATACGCCCATTTATATTTTTAGTGGGGAAAGACATGCAGTGGGACCCCAAGCCTGTCTTTTGTGAGCCTTTATTGACTAAGCTTTCTGCTTTTTCCTTTCTAAAGCCTTTTAGAAATTAAGAACATCCAGGCACTTTGTTTGGCAAGTCTGACACATATACAAGGGAGAGGACATAAATAGTTTCCATACTCTTCAGTGAAAGTGGATGTGTAACATATAAAAGAATGGGCCGGGCGCAGTGGTTCACGCCTGTAATCCCAGCACTTTGGGAAGCTGAAACGGGTGGATCATGAGGTCAGGAGTTTGAGACCAGTCTGGCCAGCATAGTGAAACCCCATCTCTACTAAAAATACAAAAATTAGTCGGGCACGATGGCGGGTGCCTGTAATCCCAGCAATTAGGGAGGCTAAGGCAGGAGAATTAATTGCTTGAACCTGGGAGGCGGAGGTTGCAGTGAGCTGGGACTGCGCCACTGCACTCCAGCCTGGGTGACAGAGCAAGACTCCATCTCGGGGAGGGGGGGGGGCGGGGGGGAAAGAATGGTGGCTAGTCAAACAGTCCCTTCCAGTAACAAGCTCTCAGGCACCCATCTCAGAAGATTTATTACATGGTGCCTCCACCATTGACCCCAAAGGAGAGACTGACTCTGCAAACAGCTCAAATCATAGTCATCCTGTCCATTTCCTGTGTGTCCCTCCCACTCTTCTCATTAACATGTAATACCATAGTCACATCAGTCAGTGGTTAGGATGCTGGGTTAATTTTGCTCCCAAGGCAAGTGATGCCTGAGAGAAAGAGCCATTCATTTGTCTTTTTCATTTCAGCTTCTTCCTAAATAGGACAGCCTTTTAGAAAGACTGTAACAGTGTCAGGTTAGTTAACTAAATACTTTGTAACTTCATCCTGATATAAAAGAACAAGGAAGAGAGTTGGATTAGGATAACTCACTGTGGTACATCTTATTTTTTATTTAGTTTATATATTTTGTGCTTTTAGACTAATTTTGCAGGTAGAGTGGGGTATAACTCACCCATGTTTTTTACCTCACAAGCTGGATTAATTATCTTAGTAACATTAGCTGTATTAAAGTGGTTGTAGAAGTCAGGTTAGGGCAAGCACTATTATTTATGTTTTACAGATGGGGTAACAGATAGAAAAGGCACGGAGAGGTTAAGTGATTTGCTTATGGTCACAAAGCCTGTTAGCAGCAAACCCAGAACAAGAACCCAAGATTTATGACTGCTAGTTCCAGCTGTTTTTCTTTGTCATGCATCCTCAGCAATCAACACAATGAAAATCTGTTTGGAGGTAACTGGGTACAACAAAATAAATTATTGTTCCTTTTGCTGGGTGAATTCAGTTTGACCTGGATATTAAATTTGCGTAAGTCCCACTGTCTCATTTAGTTATGTCTGCTCTTTAACTTTTTAAACGATGCTTATGACTTTCAGACTATTGATTTGTATAAAGGAAGATAACATTGATCAACCAAACAGGAAGTAATCCGGTGATTCCGGGACAGCTGTGGAATTCAGAGGCAAGGTCAGGTAAACACTTCAAACATGCGAAAAGAAAATGAGAGAGCTGAAGGGAGATCAAGCAATTTGATTTGCTCTTGGTTTACTCTGGAGGAAAAGGAATCCTTCTGAATTCTGAATTCTGAATTCCCAGAGCCAAGTGACTATATTCTTCCATTTCTTCTGAGTGTCTTCCAGGGAAAGTGTGTCCTCGCCAGCACCACAGTGACACTTTCTATTCCGTGACAGAAACTAAGTCTTGAAAGACAACATTGTTACACTGTTTGGGGAGATGATGCCTAGTGGTTGTTTTGTTTTGAAGTCAGTGGGGATAGTGAGGAGGGGTTTAGTGAAGGAGTAAATGTGAATGATAATGTCATAAATTCCCCTATGATTCTGATTATGAGAACTCTCCTCAGAGAATCTCAGTTCCCTAGGGAACTTTGTCCAGGATCTCCCAATTCTTTCGAGATCCCATCCAAAAATGGTGACTTGGATAAGAGAATTCAGGAACTGCATGCCACTCTGTATCTAACTCTGCATGCGGCTATGTTCACATTCTGCTAAAGCTGACTGATGTTCAAACACTCAGCCCAATGATAAGGGTTTTAAAAGTGTATTATTTTCACTATTGATATAGATCTTGTGGAATAATCATTTCATAATGACCCAGATCTTAACTAGCAGCAGACTAGTGTCTGCTACTAGTCAGGCACACTCTAGTGTGTGGTTGGTGAAGCCAGAGAGAGATGTCATTTCCTAAGAAACGGGCAAGGAGAGAGAAAGCAATTGAAGGGTGAAGAGCAGAGAACTATGAAGATGATTCAGGAAGAGGCACATGGAGACTAGAGATATAACAGAAGTTCTGGGCAGTGAACGAAGCCATCTAATACAAGGAAAAGGGGGCCAGGGACTGAGGAGGAAGGCGTAGTTTAGATTTGATCTTATTTGTACCCACAGACCAGTTGCTAAGGGTCCAACTTTCCCACGGATTAGATTTAACAGATATAGAAAGTTAGTTTTCGAAAAGAAATCTTATGTATTAGCTAAAGTATGTCCAGTTTAATTATGTAATAAAGATAAATATTTGTAACTCATTTATTTGAGTATATATTTTATAGATAACAATGTACCAGAGTGTAATAGAAAGTACCTTACAGTATAAACTGTAGTGATTTGAATGTCTTGTCTGAGGAGGATGTGGAGAAAGGTCCTGTATCTCTCAATAGTAGTCCCCAAGTAAGCCTAAAAAGAAACAAAACATTGTAAATCTCTTGGTTCCTAGTAACAGAGGAGATTTTAAACACAGAGTCACCTAACTGAGTGGAATATTTTTAATTTAGTATTAGCACCCTTTCCTAAAGATCCTATAAATTAAGAACTCTCTGGTTTTTTTAAGCCATAAGTGTTAAAGTGTAACCTGTTACAAATCAAGTTCAGGCCCACTCTTGATAACATTGTCTTTTCAGGCTAATTTTGCAGGTAGAGGGGGGCATAACTCACCATAGTTTTTTCCTCACAAGCTGGATTAATTATTTTAAAAATAGCAAAGATCATGAAAAATAGCCCAGCCAAATACTCATTTTTTTGCTTAATGTCTCATTGCTTGGCAATTTTCTTCACTGTCATTTTCAATGGAAAAATACCTGAAATTCAACTACTGAAATTCAACTGAACAGAGTGGTTTAAAAAGAATCAATAGACATGCGAATAATAAGGAAAGCATTCAAATGCAATATAGCATTTGTTTCTAATTACCACTTCATCAAGTCCCAGTTACAAATTAAGTCTCTTTTATTTCAATTAACAGTCTAATGGTGCTTCAGAGAGATAAAGAATGTTTTAAAAAGAAACCAAACCTCTGATTAAGAGCACCCAATTTTCTCTCCAGGGAAACATGATAAAGGTTTTAAGCTATGAGTGAAATCTGGGGTAGGTGATGTGGGAACTGTACTGTCCATCACAGCTAAGAGATGTAGATGATGTTTTTGGTTTTTGTGCTCCCCTTCCTGGGACCTTCTCAGCCATTCTACTGCCCACTTCTCTTCTGATATCCTATCATGGGAGAGAAGTCACCCAGCTGGCCATGCATCTGTACAACAAATATTTACTAAGCACTTACTTTGTACCAGCATTTAAGTACTTGGTCATGAGGATTCAGTGGTATATAAGATCTAGTCCCTTCTGTCACAAAGATTGTTGTTTAGTGGGATAGAAAGACATATAAGCTAATATTTCTAGTGTAATCTGTCTACAACAATAACAGAATGAAAACACCTATAATGAAGATTGATAAGTTAATTTACTCTAATATGTTATGTCATTTTACCCAGAAGTTTTTAAATGAACAGAATATATATATATATATATTTCTCTCTCTCTCTCTCTCTCTCTCTCTCTCTCTCTCTCTGCTTTGAGTGAAATTCCTGGTATTTGTGATTAGGATGATGAGATGTCTGGTACCCACAGAGCTGACCACAAATTCTTTCCATAAAGCTGGGCTTGTTATAAATTTTAATTTCAACTCAGGGCTGGATGAATTCATAGAATGTTAAGGGTTCAAGGAATGTCACAATGTATCTTATTGATTCATTTTACAGACGAGGACCCTAAGACCTAGAGAAACTAAGTCATTTGCTCAAGAAGACAAAGGTAATCATTAGAAATCAACATGAGATTTCAGCTCTCCTGATCCTTAGTACAACATGTGAAAGAAGATATGTTGTCTTTATTCACAATGGAGGCATTTTTCTGGCTGTGTTTAATTTGGCCTCCCTATGGATTCAGGACCCATAACTCTTGTTCTCACTCATCTGCTATGCTGCTGATAAGGACTTCCAGGTCAACAGCTGTAACTGCTAAATGAAGTTAATACTCTGCCTTGAAAGAAAGAAAGAAAGAAAGAAAGAAAGAAAGAAAGAAAGAAAGAAAGAAAGAAAGAAAGAAAGAAAAGAATCAGAAGGAACAGAAAAACCAAAAGATTGAAAGTCATTTGGAAATTTCTTGAGTGGTGTCTGGCAGGTCTTTTATGAAGATTATCATCAACCAGGAAAAAAAAAACAAAAACAAAACAAAAAAAACCAACGCCTGCTGACTGTGTTATCTATAGTGCATATTGCGTATTTTGGCTGATTCATTGATGGTGTAACAGATAACGGAATGAAAGGAAATGGTTTGGTTTCTATAGAGGAAAAAGAATGGTTTGTATGAGGAAACCATTAGTTTCCTGAGATTGCTATACCAAATTATCACAAACTTGGTATCTTAAAACAATAGAAATGTATCCTCCCACAGTTCTGGAGGCCAGAAGCTCAAAATCGATATTTGGCGACTGAAATCAAGGTGTTGACAGCACCCTCTGGAGGCTCTTAGACAGAATCTGTCCCTTGTATCTAACAGATTCTGGTGGCTGCTGGCATTCCTTGACTTGTGGTCATACCATTCCCATCTCTTCCTCCATAGTCACATCGCTTTCTCCTCTTCTCTGGTGTTTGCATTCGTTTTATAAGACACGTATGATTGCATTTAGGGCTCACCAGGATAATACAGGATAACCTTCCTATTTCAGGATTCTTTGCCACGTCTTCAAAGTCCTTTTTGGTCAATGAAGGAATATTCCCAGGCTCCAGGCTTTAGGATGTGGGTGTTAGTGTTGGGGTTGGGGGCAGAGTTGGGGGTGAATAACCAGCCTACTACTGGTGGGTGACTGGTTATCCATCATTCTTAAATCAGAAACGATGACCCAAAATCTCTTTTTGCTTTTGTTTCTTTCATTTTGCATATAATTACTAGGCTCTGCTTCTTCAGACACTTTTATTACATTTCAGTTTTTGCCACATCTCTCAAAAATGTCTTATTATTTTTTTCACAGCCTGTCATTTAGTTATGTTTTCTTCTAAGTGTGACTGTCTTGGTCAGTGCTCTGAAGTAATTGGTCAGTGCTGTGAAGTAATTAAAATCACTGTGAAGCTGAATGAAAAATCAGAAGAAGAATCAAGAGACTTGTTTCGCTTGTTAGGAGTTATGTCTATTTTTGGAGTTGGTGGTAATTTCTGGTCAAGGAACCAAATGTTCTTATTTCTAACCATATAGTCAAATAAGATGGCTAAGGTGCTTTCGTAATCACCGTTGATCCACTGTCAGATGGGCCTGTGCTCTGTGACAACTTTTCAGTATTATAGACTTTACCAAATAAAAAGGTATCTCCTCAATGAGTATATTAGCCAGAACCCTGTGGCAGAAAAATAAGCATGAGGGTGCCCTTTCATGCCTCCTGAGAACTCCTGTGCTAGACAGAGCCTGTTCAAGATGTCTCTTCTGACTTTCTGATTCCAGTTGACATCTCGGCATACAAGGCAACTTTGTGATGGGGCCAGAGGGCACCACACATTGTTGTGTATGAAATACTCTGTTCAGCAAACAAGCCATGCAGCATCAAGACCTAGTGTGGTCGAGGATGGTGGACTAAAAACCACTGTGAGAACAGAGATGTAGCCACCTCTGAGAATGGTTTTCTAAGCAGGATGACTTGGTTCCATCCCTACAGGCATCGTCTGGTCCAGTTCAGAGAAAAGTCAGCGAGAACAGAGACTCATCTCTTTGTTGACTGCCTTAATCCCTAGAGTTGTGTTCTTCAATTTGCTACTATTTGCTACAATTTTTCTGCGTAACAAGCAAGTTCTACCCTGCCTAGGAGAGAAACTTTTAGTAAATTCATCTTCATTCACTGCTATTCAGCTCATGCTTTAAAAACTTAGATAATGCTGTCTGAAATACTTAAGTCCTGGTCAAATGGGGCTGCTATTTCATTCAGTATAATCAAAAAATAGCCAAGGACTTTAGTTAATGTTTCTTCAGATGACAGAGAATAAACAAATTATTTTGGATATATCTACCATGACCTCCAAACATGATTGTTGATATCTTTTCTATATAAATTCCTTTCCTACATAAATGGTACTTAGCTTTTTCTTGAAAGATATTCTTTTCTCTCCAGCTCAAAGATAACCCTCTTTCCCTCAAATTATAAGTAGTTTATACTTAATAATCTTCCATACGAATTTTTTAAATTACAGATGGTAAGGTACACTTTTTTTTTTAATTTTGTAACACCACAAACCATCAAATCTGAAGAGAAGAAATGTTGAGTACGATTTACGAAAAATGAATTCTCGTAGTGTATATAGCAAAAATCATCTTAGAATGAATAGAAGCCCTAAATAACTGGATGACCACCAGGCTTATCTGCATCCATGTTCTACTTGGTTAACTGTTAAACAATATCTAACTTGTTGCATTGTGAAAACAACACGTGTCTGTAAACTGAAAAAGAGACGTTATTATCCACCTGGCTTAGTTATAATGGAGAAATGTCCTTCAGTTGCATGATGCTCTTCCTATGAATAGGAAACCAGATCAACATTTCCGTTCAAGTTCTAGCTTGCCTATAACTTGTCTTAGCTCCTTTTGCAAACCAAACGTAGCAGCAGTTATAACTGAATTAGTCTAACTGCTCAGATACATGCATTTCTGTTTGGTTGCTCTGGTATCTTCTTGAAGGTCAAGTGCTATGATCATTTATCATCATCAGAATTGGCTGCCATAACTCAGTGTTCCCCTGACCTGCAGCCGGCAGAGCACCAGTACAACTTGTAGAAAGCGGCTCCAAGGTCAGCACCCTCTCATAAACCTACCGAACCAGGAACATCTTCCAGGCCCTCCACTCTCAGGATTTTCAAGGAGAAAACAAGATGCCGAGGACTGGGAATGAGGGGCTTCAGCCCTGCACAATCTCTACATTTTGCTTTAGTCCCAAGAGGGACGAATGAAGAATGTTGTTATTGATGCTAGGACCACTTCTCTCCCATATTGTGCCCAGTAAACATGACCTTACTCGTTATTGAAATACTAGCGTTCTTCTATAATGGTTGTACATAGCTGCTGCCCAGAGCACTGAATAACACACACTACCAGGTGTCAAACCCAGACTTCCCCAGTATCTCCTTAATTCCCAGCAATAAAAAGATTAGCCTGGCACAGTAGGTCTTCAGACCCTTTCTGCTTTTGAATAGTGATTTGAACACCTCTCCTAGCTGTGTCCCCTTTGGGTTTAAGAATAACATAGAAGATATATTGCTTTCCATTTTAAAATGTTTAACTTCTATTCAAGAATAAATATTGATCAAGGGCATCTAGGTACTAGTGATTTTTCCTGATGTCCACTTTGTGAACTTCACAGAAGACTTTGATTTCACCTTAAACCAAAGAAAATCTTCACAGATATCTTACAGATCCACTGTTTTTTCATGATTATAGTAGCCTCCTGTTATCATGACAACCCATGTTCATTAACAAAGGAAATCATAGGGGCAGCTTCTATTGGGTACTTAACTCCTTCATCCATGAAATTATACTTTATGTAAATTTATTTTTGGAAAGTTCAGGTAGTTTAAATTTTAAATATCATATAGACTAGAAAGAAATTGGGACCTTAAAAACTATTTTACAGAAAATATGTTTCTGCCTGTCCTCATATTTCCCTCTTTTTAAAAAAACAGTGTTAGATTTCTGCAGAACTAATACTCTAGTACTCTTGTCACACTTCAGAGAACACTATGTGAATTCTCAGATACCACACAATTTCCGGGTATACTGTGAGGCCTCTGATAAGATTTGTATACTGTTGACACCTACTTAGTATATGGATAAATAAATCTCCAGTAAAATACAAAATAAATAGGATTTCTATCCACAAACAACAAGGTTGCAAGCACAAAAGTGAAATCTGCACAGAGAGAAAAAGAGCTTTGTCATGTTGAGTGTTTTGACCTCACAGTGAGTCATAGATTTTCTTTTCGTTCT